ACTCTTGAGAGTCCCTTGGACTGCAAGGAGATCCAACCAGTCCATCCTAAAGGAGATCAGTCCTGGGTGTTCATTGGAAGGACTGATGCTGAAGCTGAAACTCCAATACTTTGGCCACCTCATGAGAAGAGTTGACTCATTGGAAAAGACCCTGATGCTGGGAGGGATTAGGGGCAGGAGGAGAAGGGGATGACAGAGGATGAGATGGCTGGATGGCATCACCAACTCGATGGGCATGTGTTTGAGTAAACTCCGGGAGTTGGTGATGGACAGGGAGGCCTGGCGTGCTGCAATTCATGGGGTTGCAGAGTCGGATATGACTGAGCGACTGAACTGAACTGAACTGAACATCTTTATGGGCTTCCCTGGTGGCTTAGATGGTAAAGAATCTGCCTGCAGTGCAGGAGACCTGGGCTGGGAAGATCCCCTGGAGGAGGGCATGGCAACCCACTCCAGTATTCTTGCCTGGAGACTCCCCGTGGACAGAGGAGCCTGGCGGGCTACAGTCCATGGGGTTGCAAAGAGTCGGACACAAATGAGAGACTAAGTGCAGTATCTTTATAATATTGACTTGACTCATCCAAACAAATTGTTGATCTTTCCATTTATACCAAAATTTCATTTCTTTTTAATAGTTTTAATTTTTTTCCATAAAGACTTTACATAAACGGAAAGGACATTCTTAATCAAGTCCTGAATACTTTATATATAGTATTACTATTGTATACTATATTGTGTATTGTATACTATATTGTATACTGTATTGTTTTCTATAATTCCTAATGGAGAGCTATTAGCATTAAATTTTTCTTGTAGTGATCGAAGTCCCTGCCTCTCCTTTTGGTTCTAGTAGTTTGCTTATGGTTTCTGGTAGATTGTCCACATAGGTGATCATATCATCACAGGTAACAATGGGTGTATCTTTTCCTTTCATGTCTCTGTACTGCTTATTGCATTTTCTTATCTTAGCACATTGGTCAGGACCCCCAATATTGTGGTAGTGGCAATTCTGTCTTGTATCCATGTTAACCAGGAGGGCATCATTAAATACATTAGTTATAGGATTGTTTTATTTGCTTTGTTTTCTTTTTTGTTGTTGTTGTTTGCGGCACTGGGTCTTTGTTGCTGCTGGCAGGCTTTCGCTAGTTCCCTAGTGGTGGCATCTCTGTTGGAGAGCACAGGTTCTAAGGTACTCAGTAGCTGTGGCGCATGGGCTTAGGTGCTTAGAGGCAGGTGGGATTTTCCCAGACCAGGGATTGAACCCATGTCCCCTGCATTGGCTGGCAGATTCTTAACCACTGGACCACCAGGGAATTCCCTCTGAAGTTTTATAGATTAAAATTAGGCATTGTGCCCTGAGCTTCTCCTATTACAAATCACAATCGTGTGCTTGTCCTCCTTTAGTCCACTAATGCAGTGAATAATGGTGGTAGATTTTCTGATGATAAACCATTTGAGCTGGTAGATATGATCTCTGCTGCATATAACAGAAGACCAGCAGCTGTACCTTAAAAATCTAAGGGCAGTAACTTATTTTTTAAAGTTTATTAATTAATTAATTTATTTATTTTGGCCATACATTGCGACTTGAGGGATCATCTTAGTTCCCAACCAGGAATTAAACCTGTGCCTACTGCAGTGGAAGCATGGAGTCCTAACCACTGGACCACCAGGGAATTTTCAAAGGACAGTAACTACTTAATGAGCAGGCTGGAGAGGGTCCATTTCAGGTTAATCCAGCACTTGATGGCATCCTCCAGTCAAGAGTCTCTTTCTGTCTTGCCATCCTCAGCACACTGGCTTTTTGTCCTCACGGCACCCTCAGGGGTGCAAGCTGACTGCTGCATCCAAAGACACAAATCTGGTGATGAACGGGAAGGAGGGACAACAGAAGCAAGCGCTAAACTGCTTTACCATCAGTGACTCTCCTTTCACCAGTCAAGGTTGGACTTCCACCCATACCTCCTCCCCCGGTCGACTTGTCCTGGTATCATAAGTCAGAAATGGATCTTGGTGCTGCTGGTTGCATTCTGAGTGTCTGGCGGAGAGCAGGGCATGGCTGTGACTAATCGTGACTCATCCCTTGGAGCTGGGGCATTTGTGCTGCCTCCAACAAGCCGGGGTTCTGTCAGAAAGGAAGAATGTGGGGTGGCACACCGTCCTCGCACCCCCCAGGGCAAACTTGACCTCATTAGATTGGAAGATTTCTTTTCCAGTAAACTTCTGGATTTGGTTGGCCCATATTTCCTTTGGGGTTTTCACATTTATGTTCATAAGTGAGTGAAGCCTATATTTTTATTTTCTCATCCATCCTTAGCTGGAGTAAAATCTTCATAAATCTAGTTGGCTTGACTTCTTCTTTTATTTTCAGGAACAGATTATGCAAAATACAGGTGATCCATTCCTTGAAAGTTTGGTAGAACTCATTCATAAAGCTACCTGGTGTGGGTTCGCTGGGAGGGGAGATCTTTCATTACCATTTCATCATTAGCTATTCTTTATCACTGCCCCTTTCCATTTCAGTTTACTGATATTTCCCCCTTATTTGGGTAAATACAGTCAGCCCTCTGTTTCCATGGCTTCTGGGTCCACATGTACAGAATGGCAACTGTATTTAAAATCGAGTTTAAAAATTATAAAACTGAGTTGTATGCTCTATTAATAGTCCTCTATTGTGCATTTAAACAATGTCTTACTTTAAAAAATTTTTATTTTTTGGCTGCGCTGAGTCTTGCAGCATGCAGGATCTAGTTCCCCGACCTGGGATCAAACCCCCTGCATCGGGAACATAGAATCTTAGCCACAGGACCACCAGGAAAGTCCCAACAATGTCTTACTTTAATTTTTTCAACTAGTAAGCTTTTTTTTGTTTGTTTTAAATCTGTGCCAGGTGGCTTATGGGATCTTAGCTACCCAGACCCTTGGCAGTAAAAACACCGTGTCCTCACCACTGGACTGCCAGGGAATTCCCTAATAACCTTTTAAATTGAGCAATAACTTATATACAGAGAAATGCACAGATCTGAGGTGTACAGTTCTATGAGTTTTGGGAAATATGTCCATCTGTGTAATCACCACCGCTATCAGTACAGACATTTTCATTCATTCCCTTGTGCCGCTTCTGGTCAGTCCTCTCAGCCGAGTAACTGTTGCTCTGGTTTGTGTGCAGATCTTTTGCAGACATAAGCTTTTCTCTTTCTTGGATAAATTCCTGGGACTGGAATTCCTGGGTCAGAAAGGAAATACATGCTTTTAATTTTGTAAGAAACTGCCAAGTTCCCAAAGTGGTAGTTTATTTTACACCTGACTTAAAAAATTGAGCTCCACTTATTTTTAATATTGAGAGCATAAATACTAAGAGTGTTAGGAGTAAAAAAAAAGTTTAGGAGTATGAATCACTGGATATAACCCACTTCATTTTTAAAAAATATTTATTTTTATTTATCTCTTTGGCTGTGCTGGGTCTTAGTTGCAGCAGGTAGTATCTTTCATTTTAGGCATGTGGGATCTAGTTCCCCAACCAGGGATCGAACTCTGGCCGCCTTCATTGGGATCAGAGTCTTAGCTGCTGGACCACCAGGGAAGTCCCTAACCCACTTCATTTTATAATTGCCTTTTGCCTCCTACTTGCGTGAGGAGTTCCACTTCATCAGGCTATTAGGAACTGGGAGTTCTTAGCAGTTTTTCTCTGAATTAGTCATTTTCTTCCTGGACCTTCAACATCTGTGGAATCCCAGGGATGCATCTATAGTCAGATCACCTTCTCTGAGGCCAAGCCCATGAGGTTGTAGAAACTTGCTGTGAAGGTGCTCCCAGTTCTTGACTGATGCTGAGACTTCTCTTCATGATTCATTTTCTAGTCTTCTGTCCTGAAGTAAAAAGTTGATTGGAGATCCCCTTTAACAAGATGACTAGTATGGACTTTCTTTCCTGTACTGGTAAGTCCCAAGGACTTGTTTATCCAAGATGGGACAGAGAGCAATGCCTGGGGAGAGTGAGTCCTTCACCCTGGGCCTCTGGGAGCCCCTGGATCCCCAAGGGTGCCCCATGGGACAGCTTCGCTCCCTCCTTCCTCTTCCTGTGTCTTGCCCTCTCTTTCCCCTCCCCCCTCTTTTTTAGCCACATCACTGGACTAAAACTAAGATGTGAGATCTTAGATGAAACACGCACCCTCTTCATTGCAAACGTGGAGTCTTAACCACTGGAACACCAGGGAAATCCCCTAGTTTTCAACATCAATGTAATATTTTATCTTCATTGTATTGCAGATTCTCATATATTGGAACATATTATATTGTTCCACTGAAATGAATAGGCAGTTTTCAAAAAAAGAAAAAGAAAGAAGAGATACACATAGATGGCTGAACTATCTGCTGAAAAAAACAAAATCTCAAATTTTTTCATCAAGACATATAAAACGGACTTCCCTGGTGTACAGTGGTTAAGAATCCGCCTGCCAATGCTGGGGCCATGTGTTTGATCCCTGGTCAGGGAACTAGATCCCACATGCTGTGGAGCAACCAAGCCCGTGTGCTGTAACTACTGAGCCTTTGAGAATAAAGCTGGAGCTTGCTGAAACTAGAGGAAGCCCATGTGCAGCAATGAAGATCCAGTGCAGCCAGAAGTAAATAAATACATTTTTTAAAAGGCACGTTAATCAAACTAATGAGACAGCAGTGTTCACCTCTTGGCAAAAAGTCTTAAATTTGATAATAGGCTGCCTGGGGAAGGTATGAGGAAACAGGTATTCTTGTGATGTGTTGGAGTGAATGTAAGTGGGTGCATGCTTTTTGGAGAACAACATGGCAAAGGCATCAATAGTTGTTTTTTCTAATACATAAACTCTTTGCCCGGGCAATTTCACTGCCAGAAATTTACCCTATGGATTATTTGCAAAGGTCCACCAAAGTTAAATGCATACATATAGTTGCATAGTATGTGATCACAAAACCCCAGATTATTAACTTCTTAAACGTCTGTCCACTGGTAATGCGTTATCTATGATTTATATGCATGCAGTGGAACACTGCAGTGATAAGGAGACTGGGGAAGACTCATGTGTGATGTTACGAGTCAATCTCTACAATATGCTGAGGGAGAAAAAGCTACTGAATAGTAAACATATTCTGATGCTTCTTCGTATGCCTGCATGCTCAGCCCCTTCAGTTGTATCCAACTCTTTGCGACCCCATGGACTGTGTATCCCACCAGGCTCCTCTATCCATGGGATTCTCCAGGCAAGAATACTGAAGTGGGTTGCCATTTCCTTCTCCAGAGGGTCTTCCCGACCAGGGATGGAACCTGGGTCTCCTGTATTGCAGGCAGATTCTTTACCCTCTGAGCCACCAGGGAAGGTTATATGTGTATATACATACATATATTCACACACACATGTGCCAGACTTTGGTCTAAGAGAATTTGACTTACAGGGAGCTGTTAACTTTTAGGAAGAGGAAAGTTTTTGATTTTCACTAAGTCTTTCTGGACTCTTCCATTTTTCTGGTGATGGCGTGTATTGCTTTTTTATTGTCAGAGGCGTTTCCCCGGGTGTTGTGTAAGAGGACATTTTTGTTTCCTTTGTTTCACTTTACTTTTCTTAAATCTTAAAATTTTTAAGCCAAGGAAAGGGAGCTGTGCTAGTAAGGCACTGTAGTACCTCATTCAATCAAAGGAATCACTGGGCAACCAGGCTGCAGGGGGAGAGCAGCACAGCTGGGCCTCAGGAGTTTCTGGAGCCCGGGGCTGGGAGGCGGGTCTTTTCTCGTCTCTACTCGTCTTTGTGTATCAGCCACATTCTCTCTCACTTCATGGAAAATGCAAGGAATCAACGTGGCTGTCTCGTGCGTCTACATTTCACATCTTCTACAGCAGAGAGACTGCCCCTGAGTTCCTGTTTAACAAAATTCTCTGGAAAAACTTTCTTTGGCCTGGCTTGGGTCAGGTGTCCTCCCCTTGGCCCATCAGCTCTGGCCAGGGTTGTGAGGGTGGTGGTGGGGGCATCTTTAAGGAGCTAGCAGCTCCTCTGTGGTCAGGTGGTTGGATAGGAGTACTTCTCAGTAGAAGGGAGGGTGCTGGGAAGATACACATTCATTTGTTCTTCCTTATTCATCCAGTAAACACTTATGGAGCCTGTTATGTCCTGGGCTCTGGGCCATGTGCCGTGAACAAGGAACCCAGCAAGGTCTCAACCATCCAAGGGTTTAGGTCCCAGAGCCAGAGACAGGCTAGAAATCAGTGTCTGCCACACCCCTGCCCCGTCCAGGCTCAGCCAGACCCACTCTCCAGGTCCATCAAAAAAGAGGAGCCCCCTCGGTTGCCAGTGGCGGGGCCTCAGCCTGGGGATATTGCCCCCGTGGGGTGCTGATGGCTGAGGAGCAGAGCTGGCCGCCCGGGCAGTGCAGCTGTTCCGAGTTGCCAGCCAAGAGCCAAGAGCCGGGAGGTGAAGGGAGTGGCTTCCTGTTGAGCTGAGATCTTTGGCTCCAGCTTGGAAGTCAAGGCGTCTCCAGAAACATAACTGCCAGGCAGCCCACTGAGCTTCTGTGGAATTTTCATTTGTCCTTTTTTATGGACAAAACCGGGGACCTCCCTGGAGGTCCAGTGGTTAAGACTCTGCACTTCCACTGCAGAGTCCCGGGTTCGATCTCTAGTCCGGGAACCAAGATCCCACGTGCCTAGTGGCGAGACCAAAAAAAGTACAAAATCCAGGCCTGGATCAGGTGCCTGACTCCAAATCGGCCTCTCCATCCCTCAGGCAATGTTCACCCAGAGCAAACACTGGAAAGATGCTGGCTCAGCTCTGGGCCAGCACTGGCCGATGGGGGAGGGGCAGGGGGAGGGAGAGTGAGAATCCCTTCTGGGGACTCCCCCAGGGGAGGATTTTCTGATGTGCTGACTCTGCAGGAGATGCCCCTGGGATTCACTGGTGAGAGTAAGACCTCCACCCGCAAGTTACCACCCTGCTGAGACTCTGCAGTTAACCCTCTCCTAGAGAACACGAGAGATGGCTGGGGCCAGCGACCCAGGCTGCAGGCCCAGGTTTGGGATTACAATTCCTACTCACTGTCCCTCCACCCCAGGCTACTCTCCTACATGCAGGTTGTTGGTCCAAGTGTGGGTTTGCCCCTTTATTGTGTCTTACATGATATGTGTGTGTGTGTGTGTGTGAGAGAGAGAGAGCGAGAGCGAGCGAGCTGTATTGTTTATACATGATGTAGTGATGGTGATTAAACTGAGGAGTTAGTCCATGGTTTGGAAAACAGAAACCACACCCAGAGAAGGTTGAATGTAAGCCTAAGGACACTGGACTCTGAGGTTGAGAGCTTTTTCTTTTTTTTTGAGAGCTTTTTCGAAGGGCCCGTGTCACCATCAGTCTTGGAAGTAAGACATCACGTTTCAATCCTGGCTGGAAGGGTGTGATGCATCTTCAATTGTGGCTGTGAGAATGGACTCATGACAGGGTGTTCTGGTAACTAGATATGTAGGAGGTGGGCTGGGTTGGTAAGTGATGGACGGCACTGCTTGTGTGGCCATGCCCACCACCCTGGGCAAAGGGGGCATCTCTGGCCCACCCCAGCACCTTTCTGGGCCTGCACCCACAGCCTCATGGCATCAGGCAGAAAAGTCTGAATTGGCTGCCTCTGGAGAGAGAAGTCAAGGCTGATGTGGGGCCAAGACTAGGGGTGAGATGCGGAAGCCATGAGAGAGCAGAGACCACACAGTAGGAAAAGGACGTACGAGACAGAGAAAGCAGGCGCGAGAGGAGCCCGGAGCAAAGGCAGCAGTGGCCAGTCCCCTGGGTGGCCTTGGGTGCTGACAGTGGTCCAGGCTGTCCCAGTCTATGTGGAAACCTACAGGGGACCTCGCTCGTGAATCTGACTCTTGCAACGCCAAGAAGCTAAGTGACACGGGACTCTACCCACGGCTTCTGCTTGTCACCTGTGACGTCTCTTCCTCCTCCTTGGGGCCATAGCTTATTCATCTCTCTAATCAGAGCATCTGGCTCTGTGCAGGGAAACTTGTAGGTGTCTATTAATGTTTGAATAAATAGCTGCATCTATCACAACAGTCCTTGGCCCAGCCTTCGCTCAGAAGCTGTGGAATGAGCAGCAGCGCAGATTTTAGATCCGGTACCCATATCGGCCATGTGCAAGGAGGTGAGCTGGGCCAATGAGATTCTTTCTGGGCGACCGAAGTCTAAAAGGAGCAATGAAAAGGCATTAGCAGGAGGAGCTGAAGTTTCAAGGGTATGTGGGGAAATGGAAAAGCTGTATGGATACTCAGTGTCCTCAGGGGGTGGTTTTGAAGGACCTTATAAGGACAAGGAAGGAGACCCCAGAATGGTGCACATGAAATGCTTCTGTGGCCTGTAAAACGAACACAGGTGTCCATGATCAGTAAAGCTGACTGTTAAGTCTCAGGCATCCTTGCCAATCTACTTCTGTGACTATAAAAGGGAGAAGAAACTTTGTGTTCTTTTAAAGTTAATCACTAAAGGGATGTTGCCTATAAGCTTAAATTACACATAATGGCCCATCTCTGGGAAACTTGTCACCCAGTTAATGAGCACTAAGCTAAAATACCTTTGTTTAGCTCATGAGTAAGCATCTTCCTGACCAGGCCCATCTGTGAAAGACTGAAGGCAGGAAGAAATTCCTCCTGGAGTCTGGCCGGAACCAGGGCTTTACTCCCTCCTCTTTTAGTGTTAAAAGAAGCCTGAATTCTAACTCAAGGAAGATGGTTCATAAGGACACAAATCCTCCATCTTCTCAGGCTGATGACTTTCTGAATAAAACCACTATTCCTTGCCCCAACAACTTGTCACTTGATTTATTGACCTATTATATGGCAAAGCAGTATGAGCAGCCAGTCTTGCTGCTTGTGGCCAGCCAGCTCTGATTGGGGGATTCGGGGGGTAAGGCCCCAGCAGCTGCCCGGACCACTCGTCTTGAGGATCGTCCCCTTAAAATTCCCTGAAGCTGCTCTGGCTGCCCCAGCTCTTAGCAGGTGGAGAAAGGAATCACCATCTCATACAGTAGGTAGACCACTCCATGTAACACCTGGAGATTTTATTTCTTCTCCATTTGGGGCTGCTTTCCTTTAGAATAAGCCAATTTGTATTTGAGTGGAGTGTGTGTGCTCAGTCGCTCAGTCGTGTCTGACTCAGAGCGACCCCATGGACTGTACAGCCCGCCAGGCTCCTCTTGTCCATGGAATTTTTCAGGCAAGAATACTGGAGTGGGTTGCCATTTCCTACTTCAAGGGATCTTCCCCACCCAGGGACCAAACCCTTGCGTCTCCTGCATTGGCAGGCGGACTCTTTACCACTAGCACCACCTGGGAAGCACATTTGAGTAGGGCATCATATTGGAAAGAGGATAAGAGGACATAGTTGATGGACTTTTATGCAATTTATGTGAATTGGTTTATTTGGATGCTAGCATTTGTGTTTGTCTTGTATTTGTGTCTTTTAAAAAAATGGGGAATGGGGAGTTCCATGGTGATCTAGTGGTTAGGATTTGATGCTTTCACTGCTGTGGCCCAGTTCAGTCCCTTTTTGAGGAACTGAGAATCCTGAAAGCCATGTAGTGTGGCCAAAAAAAAAAAAAGTGGGAAATATTTCAACTATGCCTGAAGAAATTCCTCAGAGGCGTATTTTGGATAAGTGGTCTGATTACAGCTATGAAACCATGACTAAGAAGTTGAAAATGTGTGGCCCCAGTACCTGCTAGGATCTCCACAAGGGGTTCATTATGCAGGGTTATCTTGGGACCCCATGCACCATGTACTACTGTCGTTGCTTTGTTAATTACATCACGTGTGGTCTCCGGTGTCATTGGTATCTGTTAAACCCCAAAACCAGACTTGAGGGTTTATTTAGGGTTTTTGGTTTACCCTTTAGGTTTTTGGTTTCATATTGTTTTGGTAGCAGTTCTCCAGTTACAGCCAAATCAGTTTTATGATATTTGAAACTTCTACTGATGTTGAATGGAGGAAAGGAATAGAAAAAGTCTGTTCTTGTCTATAAGTGGGACATTCCCAGGGGGAAGAGAAAGATTCCGTTTGGTTCCTAAAAATCAACAAAAGCCCTGTGCCAGAATTGGCTGGTTGGTTGATGCTAAGGCAAAAAAGCATCCTTTGCATGGTTAGAGATGACCACCTGCTCTATGGTTTTATAGCAGTTTTTTAATGGCTCCATAGTTATTCTGTGAAGAAGCAGGGGAAAATGATGAAATCCTCTTATGTTGTGTGGCTCAGTGGTAAAGAATTTGCCTGCCAATGCTGGAGACCTGGGTTCAATCCCTGGGTCAGGAAGATCCCCTGGAGAAGGAAATGGCAACCCATTCCCTTCCTCTTATATGCAAGCTCTTGTGCTACTGCATCAGGGTGGGAAATGTCAGACAGTTGTTGTTGTTGTTGTTGTTAAGTTACTAAGTCGTGTCAGAAACCC